GTACTCAGTCTAATTTCGGTATTGAAAGGTGACCGAAATTGGTCTTTTGGTGCAGGCTTGGCGCAGATTATCTATATTTTGGCAAAATGTAGAGGATGTAGCAAGGTTAGCCCGTTACCGCAATTGGCACAGCAATCACATCACTGAATGATGTAACAAACTATCATGACGTGCGTGCTTTGGTGTGAAATTGACAGCTGTGCAAAGTAACACAGCAAAACCACAGCAATGTCCACGCCTCGAGCTTCTCAATTTTATCCCTCTGGCAAAAAACAAATAGCTACGGCATTCACATACAGCTTAAAGGGGCCCTGCAATGACTTTTTGACTGGTTTTAATTTGCACTGAACCTGAGCGCACTGAACGTAGTAACTTAATCAAACTTTTCTTTTCTCAAATTTCGCTTTATTTTAAAAGTTATAGGCGAATTAGAATTACAAAAACAAGCAAAAAATAACCTCCTTCATGACGTAGTTGGTCCTGACTTGAGTGGCCGTGAACTAGAGGAGGGGTAGTGAGCTCATTGAGCGTTCACGGTTGCCGCACTCCGGGTCAACGGCTCGAGAGGGCGCCACTTAAGCATATGTTAAATAGGCTCTGTGAAGCGGGCGGCCAGGGCGGCTCGCATTGCATTTGCTGCGCGATTAAAGACTATTTCGGCATAACACTTCATTGGCCACAAACGACAGCAAACACGGGGTAAAGATCAGTTCAGAACGGGAGCCACTTCGCGCTGCCATGCCGCCAAATGGCCAAATCGCCAGCAGGGCCCGCGCCGAAGGCCTTCGGAACGCTCGGAACCGGTCGGATCGTTGAGCCGGTATACGACCGCAGCGCCGCCGCGTACATCCGGGGCTTTTCTACTCTGGCCGTTCGTCGTAGCCTCATCCCACTAGTTCTTTCTAGCATGCGCCGTTTTTTCCGCCGCTTGATGGCGGGTATGTCGACGGGTCTTTTCTTGTTTCCGTACTTTATAAACTGCATTTGTTTCTTTTCTGATCTAAAATACTGAACAAAAACTTCTTTTATAAATAATTGAAACGGTTCGCGCCACTTATATTTTGTATTTCGACTACGAAAAAGCTTTTAGCGGCTCTGACCAGTAGTAAGCCTAGGACCAAAGACGTCACATTTTGCGCGCTTTCGGTACCGCGGGTCGCCCTTGTCGGTGGAGGTGGTTTCCGCGTCGGCCGGTTAAAATATGACGCACTGATATTTAGTTACTCTCTCCGTGCCCGCTGGCTTGCCCGGACCCCAAGAGGCGTGGAAACCGCAAAAAAGGTAGTTGCTTAAATAGGATTGCAGGGCCCCTTTAATGTTCCTCCCAAAAACATAGCTTTCACATATACTGTATTTTTTTAAGAAAAATATAAAAAATATGACCCAGACGATCAATGTACCTAATATGAAGTGACGTGGAAACACCCTAGTACAATTTTAAACACATTTTTACACTCGCACCAGGATGGCCCGATCCAAGTTATTTGAATTGGGATGTCACGGGTGGTGCAGCCACTCCATCCTCGCAAATTTTCTCAGTGTAAATGTTTGCTTCTGTTTTAGATATGTTGCACACTCAATGCTGTGGGAGCCCCCGGCTTCCCTCCCCCAAGAAGGCATAAGTTGCAGGCGTTCTCCCCGGAATTGTCTGGCTTTGAGCCTGCTCGTTCGGTATCGTGTCGGGCGGAGTATGCCGCCTTGCTACGTACTGGCCTACTCTCTTGCACCCCTCCCCGCGTCCCCCGTTTTGGAGGGATCAGCGAGATCGCACGGGACAGTCGAGTCTGCCCTCCTCTGAGTGGATGGCCGTCTGGTTGAGGAGCCCTGAATTGGGCTCCGGACGACTGGTCAAGTCACGGCGTACGAGCTTGTCTGACCGGCGATGATTCGACGCTAGCATTTCCCCTGGCTCCGACAGTTGGCGTCCCCTCTACCTAGTGGACGCTGTCTGCTGAGAGACCTGGCCCCGAACTCCTGCGATGACGGGTAGCGGCGTGAGCTCGGCCCACCGGCGATGATTCCGCTCGCAGTTACCCCTTTGGCTCTCAGGTCGGCGGACACTGCGAGCACTCTGTGTCCACGGCTCGCTTGACCGCAGTGTCTTGTTGGGGATCCCTGCTTCTCAATAAATGTTGCTGGATACCGGGTTCATCGTTGTTGGCATGGCATTCACGAACCCGGCACAGCGACCGCCCTCACTGGCAGCTGTCGGTTGCACAGTGGGACGGGCATTGGGTTTCCTTTGAGCACCAGTCCTTGGATCTAAACGTAATCCCCACAAAATGGCACCTAACGTGGGGCCACGGCACCTAGCGTTATCGTGGCACTGCTCCGCCGCACCATGCTAAGATGGCGGAGCCTCCTCTGGGAGGCTCCGCCATCTTAGCGAATCCTATGAATCTATGAATGCCCGGATTTGGAAACCACATCCAAGAGCCTGACCGGAAACTTGAGTGAGTCACTCCAGTGAAACTCGTTTAGAACAAACCCATGTACAGAGATATATTGTCGATATCGAACTCACGAAAAATTTAAATAAAAATGCATGTAAAAAGTATTTTTTATAAAAAAAAAACATATTGGCTATATCAAACCTTTTCCCCCTGGGAAGGCTTCCAAAAACGCGAAAACAATCATCTTCTAGCTTGTCCCTTCGCCCCCCCCCCCCCCCCCCCAAAAAAGTAGGAAAGAAAGAAAATTCCAAAAGCTCAAGTTGCAAACAAAATTGAGCGAAGAGAAGCGATTGAGAAAAGGGGAAAGCTAAAAAATGCACTCTGCACACACGCACAGAAAAAAAAAAGTTATCCCAAAATCGTTGCCCACGAAGAGAAGCAATTCAGAAGGGGAGATAAGCTAAAAAAAAACTCTGCACGCATGGTTTTTGCTATATCGAACTGATTGTAGCGTTTTCTGCTGTTCGTTATAAACGGGTTCGACTGTATTTGTTCATCCTCTTTCCGTGTCTTGCTGCACATACTATGTTTGGCGGAGGCTAACAACATAGTCACCCCACAGTGTGACAGCTGCTAGCTCCTCCAACTCCACTGGCAACACCCCCCACCCCCTAGCTAGAGGGTTGTCGCCTCTGGCGGCATCCTCAGAGCCTTTCTGCCATGGAAATCACGTTGCGTTGACCCCCTGACCTCGCAACGAATGCTGTTAGCAGCAAGGAGCTTCTTAAGGGTCAGCAGGACAATCTGGGTTTGTCAATATGTGCATTTCTTTGAAACCGAGTTGTCGGGCTCTCAGGGAAAGTCAAGGGGTGCGTCGGCCATTATCGTCACCAAATAGCTCGTAATGCTACAGACAGGCTCTGGGAGCCGCAAGCCACACATCCGCCAGCGTCCACAAGCAGTTTTCATACTGTGGGCATGTGCACTGTATGCCAGCTGTATTGTGGTTGGTACGAGGTTTTTTTTTTTTTTTTTGGATAGAGTGGTTTTGCTGACGCCTTTGAGCTTCTGCCTATTTCCGAGATTAACGCCCTTGCATTGTAAGAGTGGCACAATGCACTAGAGATGGAGTGGTTGTTTAGCTGCCTCGTTTCGTGCGCTTTACTAGGGATGAGTGCAGCTCATCCCTAGTAAAGCGTTGTTTTCCCAGTTCATGGTCCGGCTCCTGGTGCAGCCACAGCTGGCAGCGGAGAGTCGCTGGCTCAGTTCCCGGCGACTTCAGTTTGCATACACAGAGTGCCAACTAATTCTGTTAATGGTATTGCGTGGTCTGTTTTCCAACTAGAGCCTCCCGCCCTGCAGTTGGCCGGTTAATGTATGCAGGCTGCTGAATTCAGATACTATGAGAACCCGGCCATAACCTGTTCTCAGGGACCATTGCTTCCCCTCAATGTCAGTGTGTCGACCGAGAACAATGAGCTCTCCCCTCGACCTCGCCGTACTGAGGGTCGGGAGAGGGCAAAAAGATGCCTGCAGGGTGCTGCGTGGGCACTTCTTTCCGTCATTCAGGAAGACGTTTGCGCCCCCCTGTTCCCCACCAGAGCTCAAGCAACGGCGAGGGACATGCTGAGCGGAAGGGCGGGGCCTGCAGGATGTGCGTCATCGCTGACCCTGCCAGCAGTTTGTGTACCCAAGGACGGCAAAGGGGAGTAAGCTGACTTCTGGCTGAGTCCAAGATGGCCGCTGTTGTCCTTCTGTATTCCGACCTCAACAAGGGGCCCATCTAAACCAGGCTTACCGATGCGGGTCTGGTCACGAACGCCTCCTGATACCGTCCCCGAGGTACTCATTTGACTTCAATGACCGGCGTCACCCTTGCCACCTGTCTCCTGTACTCATGTCACGGCGTCACCAGGTCCACTTCGCAGGAAGTCGGCCCGCAATGAGTCGAAAGTGTGCAGCATGAGCCAAGCGACACCACCGAGCAACTTTGCCGAGCATCCACACCTGCATGTAAGTGGCACTTGGTATTCTGAAAGAACTTCCTGTCGAACCCTTGATCGTCCGACATTGAGGAAGTTTTTTGGTTTCGTTCAACGGCATCCGGAATGCATCGGAAGCCAGAGCATCGTGAACTCTGGAACGTTGAACATTTACGGCGGGTGTTCCGGGGGATGCCTGGCCCCCGACTCAAGATGTTGTAGTTGTAAGCGCAACTGGCACCCACGCTGTCGGCATGCAGGTCTTGAATTTTGAAGGATCAAGCCCTGGCTTGATCTCCTGAGTAGCGGCGTGAGCTCGGTCTACCGGCAATGACTCCGCTGGCGATCCCCTTTGGCTCTCAGGTCGGCAGGCGCTGCGGACACCTTGTGTCCTCAGATTGCCACGAGCGCAGAGTCTTGTTGGTGACCCCCGTTTCCCAATAAACGCTGTTGGATCCCGGGGTCATTGTTTCTGACATGGCACTGGCAAACCCGGCGCAGACTGCCCTCGCTGGTAGCCGTTGGCCGCACGGTGGGACGGGCATCGGGTTCCTCTTTGAGCACCCGTCCCCAGACGTAAAGGAATGCAATCACCACAACGTATCTGAAGACTTGCTTGACCTACCTCGGCCCTTCTTGGTGGCGTCTATGATGTTTGACCTCTGGAGGATGTTGAGAAGTGCAGCTATGCGGCCGGTCTTGGAGACTGCTAGCCAGGTGCCGCCTTCTCGCCCTTTCTCCTGGTCTCGTCCTGAAATCAATACCAACCAGACAGAAGTCTTTTTGTTTTGCATTGTATTTTTTTAAAGGATCCGTCACTAGGCACTGGCTATGAATCCTGGTCACTAGGTGGTTGTCATTTGTATCGCTTTGGTAACAATAAAGAAAGAAAAAGTTCAGAATACTTTTTAGAGCATTGAAACAAGTATAGAAATTGTGTACAACATTGAGGAAAAATGAGAAGAATAAAGAAAAGAGTATTTTTCTTTATTATTAAAACGTAAGCAAGCCCTGACATTCCGCACAAATTTTCAATGGGCAATCACAGCTCGTACATCTTTGCTGGAACCTCAACAATAGAAAGTTACTTGCTCTCTTAAAGGGAAACTGCGCCGATTTTTTTAGCTACCTAATCCAAAGGCATAATCTGAATGCAGATGGCTTCCTGATTCCGAAATGCTATCTCGTTCTCCCAGATTCACTCTGGTTAATTAAAAAAGTGATATTTTGTTTGCTGCCGAAACTGCAAGATCGTTCTCCCTAGTTTTTCCCCAGTTTTCCCCGCCACCCAAGCTTGACGTCACTGGTGGGCAGCGAGGAGCGTGGCCGGCAATCGGATGCGCTCATGCCCGCCCTTCTCGCATCTAACAGCGAGAAAATCTGGGCGTTCATGCTATTTGAAGTTGATAATTATCTATATTTGCACAAAGTATGACCTTGGTCTATGTGCTGAACTATGAGAAAGCAAAAAAAAACAAAAAAAAAAACAGGTCCAGTTGGAATTTTTATAAAACCGTTTTTGCAACTCGGTACGCTCAAGCCGCGGCTCGCTAGTTTCGTGATATCACTAGTAAATCCATTTTCTTTTTATTAGAAAATGGCTGGTGAAGAAAGGTCAAAGGGTCACGCAATACATTTTTTGACAAATTGCCAAAGCACCAGGAAAAATGCTCGGAATGTGGGTACAGATGCCCCACACGCTCGTATAACCTGAAGGAATGTGTTTTAGATTTTCTTTAGAAAAGTTAGTGTTGCAGATGCCATCACGTGTAAACTACTCTTGTGGCATGAATATGCTCTTTGGTGCTTAAGTAATTTAACAAAAGATCCCTATGGACCATTTCTGAAAAGCGCTTCTGGTCGATGCCATTTTCAGGGTTGGTGCGTGTGGTACGTAATTTGCTTGCCTTCCAAAACGACAAACATGTGCGTGCTGGTCTGGGACCTAACAAATGTAGACTGTGACTCTCGTAAACAATGCAATGTATAGAATGGAATGAACTGCATTCATGTAGATAGGATGGCAGGTTAGTGATCATGAAGATTGTGTTAAAATGACAATTAAAAGAACTCTGCAACCACCAAGCCAAACATCAAAGTGCAATGGAATGCGTAAAAAATACATAATTACACTGTTCATTTTCAAATAAAGATTATTTGCTTCAAGATACGATAGTGTGTAAGGTACAGGAAGACATCATAAACTTTTAATTCAAAATAAGTTAACAAAAGTTACTAAAAGAAATATGGATCCCCTATTTTTACTTTTTTTTATTTTTGAAGTAGAATGCAACACGTTCAAACACCCATCCACAAGAGCACATCAGAAAGGGTAATTATATATAAGATTTCTTTTCTTTTTTTAAGTTTTCGTCTAGCACAGTTTCCATCAGCTGTAAATTTGCATGCCCCCCCTCAACGACATTAATATTTTCATGGTGTAAAAAAACTGTTCAGCCCTATATAAAATTTCTCAGCAATACAATAGATGTTTTCCTAACTTCTTCTGCAGAGAATATTGCACACCAACCATTTGATAAACCAGGCAAAGTCTCTATTGTATATTAAAGGGGCACTCAAGTGGTTTTTGGGGGAAGCTACTTTTTGGTGCGATGGCATTAAGGAAGTGTCAGTGAATGAGTATCTTCAGTTTTAGAAGGCAGAACCGCCTATTAATCATGCAGGAATAAAATATGTGCGGACTCTTTTCTGTTCCTGCGCCGACCAATCAAATTATATGTTTGAAAATTTTGGTGGCCTTTGTAAAGTTTCGCTAAAAAAACAATTTTCAGTTCATTTAGATATGTTGTGCATGATAATTTCACAAGATGTAAAATAGCTCTAGTTTAGAATATGCCATACTGCAATTATCGTTTCACAAACAAGAAACCCGGGTTCCTTATTCGTCCTCGGAACCCGAACACAACTCCAAAGCGCTGCTATCGTCCACATCGCACGTCGGAGTGGCGTCATAGGAAATCATCCCCAGGTCGGCTGTCCGCCGAAGAATTTCAACCTCTAACGGCGTCAGGTCCACGAGCGTAGAAAACTCTGCCATGATCAAAGCTCAAATGACAAAAAAGTTCGACCGATGCGGCTATCTCGAACCTCGGGATCACTGCGCGACGGAGCGTCGTCCAACGCCATTGGCCCGAGATCGTTTTGATATGCGAGCGGTGACCAATGAGAGTGGTTTCGTTTTTGGATGGGTCCGAGAGTTGGTGGCCTTCAATTACATTTTATTAAAAACATAATCACTGTATGACTATATTTTTTTGGTTTTTAAAGATACTTAGGGCGTCTAGATTCAGTTGTCATCATCAAAACAAAAACTCAAAAACTGCTTGAGTTTTTGTTTTGATGGAGCTCAACACCTGCTCCATAAATTTCTGTAATAGCAGACAGGAATAGCAATATGTCGAAAGTCGTGTCTAAATTCAGACTTGAACTTTGTTTAGACGTTTCACTTCTCGTCTTCAACATATCGGCTGCGTGAGGGGAACTTCAAGAGTAGCCCAAGCTAGATTCGACGTACGAAACAGATATAGTGTTCATAAAAAATAAAAATAAATCACTGAAGCAATTGTGAATAACAAATGTGACTGTGCAAAATGTCAGCTATAGTGCTAGATTATGTAAAATTTTTCTCGATGTTATTAGCGCTCTTCTTTGGACGGATGTCGTAGTGGTCACTGCCGGCTTGAGTCTGCGCTTGCCGCTCTTGAAGCTGTTCCAGCTGCTGAAGGATACTCAACTTGCAGCATGCGGCTATAAAGTATTCCGAGCAAAAGTGAAAGTATTTCACGTGACACTAGTTCTCTTGGCACACAGCTTGCGCAAAAGCACCTTGACGTGGCCGGCCTCCATTGCTGCCGGGGAATGCATTTTTTTTTCTCCCACGAAAACAAGGGTAAAGAAAAAAAAAGAAGCTTATTCTTGGCACTGTTTCTACAATCTATCGCGGAGCACAAGATTGCTACCCATTGCAACGGAACTTGCTACCTTAAACCTGCGAAAAAAAATCTCAATCGTTGGCACCCGGAATGCCATTTCGCGGCTGCCTGAGTCACTTGTCCACCTGCCCACCAGCAATGTACGCAAGTAGGGAAAAGTAGGGATTTTTCATTGTTGCCAGTAGAGAGTCGCCTCCTGGAACCCTAGCGGCTGGCGTAACTTCAAAATTCAATAACTTCACGGAAATTTTTTTTTTACTAATATTTTGGTTATTAGGTGAGATATGGTTACTGATGCGGTCTGCAAATTTCCAGCCAAATCGAAGTCTAGTACCAAAAAATCGGTAGAGTTCCCCTTTACAGTAAATTTCTTTACTCCAAACTTGCACTTCCGACAAATGCTAAAACCACACAAGTAGTCAAGCTAGAAAAACCAGGTGCTAGTTCACACTTGTTGCAGCTGGAGGACTTTCAACAAATATCACCCACACATGTCACCGAGGCAGTAATTTTGGTCTGGCAATAATAAGGTACAAAAAATTTGTTTTTTTTCAAAGCACTCTTTAAAAAAATGCTTGGTCCAAATATTTTGTAAAAATACCGCTACCCCAACATTTTGTGTTACCTTCCAGTGAAAAGAAACAATCCAATCACTACAAAAATTCTGAAATTGTCTTCAGTCTTTTTTTTAAACAGCATGAGATGTTTGCTGCTTTTTTTAAATATGCAAGGTACTCCACAAGACAAAATTCTAGTCCTCCTGCGAAATGTTTCCTGAACTACGAGCACAAAGGGCAAAAATTGTTAGAGAGCAAAGAGTTCGTCCCACAACTTTCACCTGGCTACCTGGAGTTCACACAGCCTCAATTAAAAGGCCAGCCACCGACACACCAAAAAAAAATATTAATTTTTTCATGCGAGGCGAATGAGTGGGGTGTCGAGACACTACCCAATTTATGTTTTACTTCAAAGGGCATACCATATTTTCCAATTTATAAGTTGTGTTATTTCTTTTTAAATTTTCGTTGGTGCATTTGATAGAACGGTGTGAGGTGCATTTTTTTTAATAAGTATGGGCCTTAACTCCAGAAATTCCCCATGGGAGCTATATTTCTCATTCAATTCATTGACAAGAATAGACCCTTTCCGAAAATGCCCCTGTAATGCTGCCTTGACGGTGCTCGAAAGTGCGACTGGTCACTATGATCGAGAAAGGTACAGTCACCAAGATGCATGCCTACGCGGTCACGAGCATCAGCGCCGCTGGCCCCGATTCACTACCGTGGACCAATAGACTTCTTGACACTGCAAGTTTGTGCACTACAGATAAAGTAAACGACTGCTATGTCGCCCACAAGACGAGCGACTAAAATTAACGACGCAGTTTGGAGTGAAAGTTAGTTGGAGGCATCTTTGCTCTAAACAGCAACTTTTTTTTTCGTTGGTGATCGAGCTAGTTGTCGCATTTCGTTTGAAACACTGTCCGCAATGGCGACTGGGTCGCTTGTGCGTCCTTGTTGGTGATGCGGTTTACATCGGCTATTGAGTTGGTGGTTGCATTTTTGTTGGCGACGCTGTTTACATTGGCGACGAAGTCACTTGTCACATCTTCATTGGCGATGCAGTTTATGCCGCCGACGGAGTTGGTTACCATGCCATTGCTGCCAGTGTTGCGATGCCCATGCCGACGACTGCCTCCCTTACCGCGTCTTCAGCAGCAGCGGTGGAGAATGTTTGCTTCGTCGGCAGTGGCAGCCTTTGACATGAGGTTTTCTCCTCGGAGGCCTTTTGTTGACGT